ACAAGACATTTACATTTACAGATGCTTTTATCCAAAGCGACTTACAGGGGGACAACAAGTTTCAGAGACTCATTGTGAGTTTATGTACACACGTTTTGATTTTAATGGGGTTTTTTATACACAGTATACGTTTCATTTGTTTTGTATGTTCACCTTTAATCTGCTGAAAATCAACTGCCTTCAGAGGGAGTGAATAAAAAACTGAACTGAATTGATCTTTTTATTATATTAAGAAATTAGACCAAAACAGCAAAGGTACGTTGCTGGTCTGTGAGCCTGAATGGATACAGGTCAGGTGCTTTAAGGACATTGGCCAAGAGGTGAAACTGACATCAGTAAAAATATAAGAAGACTAAATAGTGCAAAGCCTGACAGGCAGCAGGAAAAAGAAAAGCACCATAAACACTGATGTTTTTTCTTGGGATCAAAAATGGCCGACACAGTGATGGATTGTTTCCTGACAGACCACCTGGACATTAGCCTGTTTGCTTGGTTTTCTACTTAGCGAGCTAACGGTGTCTGATGATCCCTGGAGCTCTCAGACAGCAGCGTGAGTGACAGGTGCTGGAGTGTAAAACTTACCTAACACAGGAGGAGGAGGGGCCGGGCCTGTCGCACACTTTGCTGACTCGAAGAGAAAAGTTGTAACTTTAACACCCCAGGATGTGTGTTCATATCACTTAATGGCTTCTCATATTAATTTGAGGAAGATCATTTGAGTCTCTGTGGTGCAGTGAAGTGGACGGGATGACGTCAGGGGTGTCAGTTTAAAGAAAGATTCTGACCGAGCTCACGCTGCGAAGACTTAACTGTGTATCATGATATTCGTGCTTTCCTGTGCACGCAGGGCAGAGGTCCTGTGTGCAAGTGCACACATGTGTATCTTAACAAGTGAATTTGAAAGTGTGTTTGTGTGCACAGCTTGTCTCCAGGTTTGTGTTTCTCCTGCGACGTCAGTCCTATTGGCCACGGTCTATATTTAGCCAGGAGGTCGCAGCCAAACAGCGTGGGAGACGCTTCAGAGAGACGTGAGCCTGGAAGGAGGTCAACATGGTGACTGAGATGTGCTGTGAGCAGGATAACAAGAACTGAACCGGCACTAGGGAGAGGGGGTCGAGGAGGGGCTGAAACCACGAGTCAAAGCAATCCAAACACTTGAAAATCATTGGTATCGCTCTTTGTAGCTCTTATCTATTTAACTCAGTGACCTTCCACCATCCCAAAAGTTCACCAAAGACACTAACGAGGTTGATTGATTTGAAAGTGCTGATGCAAGAGGATTCAACTCTGCCAAGATCACTGGCATGTCATGTGATGACACTGTCACATGCCCCGAACTTTACTTTCCCTCCTGCCTTCAGATGCCGTCGGGAATATCAGAATTATGACTTAAGTGTTCAGGAAAAGGACCACGCTGGTGGCGCGGCAGTCGAAGTATGCACCGTATCATGTGACGGCATGTAACATGCAACCGCAACATCCTGAGTTCAAATTTAGCCAGGACCTTTGTTGTATGTCGTAGCTCTCTTTCCTCACACTTTACTTTCCCTGCTGCTCTTTACTAATTACTGTCTTATAAAAGGTTAAAATATAATGTCAAAAAGGCAGCTAATACAAGAGGAAAGCTGGAATTGTCTGTGATCATGAAGTAGTTAAGATATGATTTTTATATGGGCAGGGAGTACAGTATATAAGTAGAAGTAATGAGAATTCATTTTTTTTCATCATAGTTTGAATTTATGACTTACCAAATTTGTGTAACAATCATTATATGAAAATCACCTATCTGTTTCTACATAGTAAGCAGCAGGTGTAGTATATCTGATAGATTTTTAGTCACAGTCTCACTATTATAGCAGACACTGGTCTTCTATAATAGTGTGTTCACACCTGCTTTATTTTCTTAATAAAAATACAGACATATATTACAGGGCTTTTAGTGGGTAACCAACACATTAAACTTGTGAAGAGATGACATCACAGTCTACCACAGCATCTCCCACCTCCCACCTGCTACTGTTTGATTATCAGCTGATAAAAATTCAGTGTCACACCTGCCACCTGCACTCTGCATAATAACCCCTTTAACAAGCAGCAGCATGAAGACAGGAGGGAGGTGGGTTCATTAATTTACTTAAGATGGCATCTGGTTCACTACTCACTCAATCTTTACAAAATATATTTGGATCATTCGAAGCAGTAAACATCTCAACTTTAAAATCAAAATATCACTTGAACAGTATTTGCTTATTTTGTAATAACAGTGCAGAATTTTTTCAAATTTTGGTTCATTATTACTTAGATCAATTCAGATATTTTGATAATATCCACATACAATAATTTTGGTTTCAGAAGGGATCAGGATGATGACTATATTCAAAATCAGCCAAGAGCAGTAACCATTTTTTGGGGGAGTAGGCCTACTTAGTTTTCATCTATATGTTCCTGTACTTGGCTGTACTTGTCAAGGATTTCAGGGCCGCTACGCAGCAAGTGGCACACCGGTTCAGCCAAATGCAGCTCAGCCATTATTTCACAGGAAGGATAAGGACACATCACAGGATTTGATTAAGAACTCATTCATTACACTGTAACTGTGGAAGTTTGGTGGTCAACTATCTTCGGAGACAAGAAGAAGAAGGAGTCCTGCAACAGATGGTCCCAGCTCCACAGAGCCCTGATCTCAGCATCATGGAGTCAGTCTGGGATCACATGAAGAGACAGAAGATACTGAGACAGACTAAATCCACAGAAGAACTGTGGCAGGTTCTCCGAGATGCTGGAACAACCTACCAAGAAAACTTTTTTACTGCACATTGTATGAAGTTACTTAATAAATTTAATAAAAACTATTCATGACATTATTTTAAATTGTCCTCACTTTACTTTTAGTGCCTCAAACCTTGGCACAGTTGTGTATGTCAGATCTGCAAATTCAAATCTCATGTTGGCTTTGGATTCAAAACTTTAACTTTTTACTAGACTAAAAATAAATAATTCAAAACAATGACTATATTTCTGAAAAGTTGAAGTAGTTTATTATACTTATGTAACATTCATACGTAACATTTAAAACCAGTGAACTTTCACTGTACAGAAGCTCAAAGAGGACACACCACATATGCAGCAAGTCAGTGGGACGGTTCATAAAAGCAGCTTTTGAGGAGGCAGCGACTGTGAGCTGAGAACGTGTCGAGATTGCAGAATGAGAGAGAAATGGAACCTGAGAGAGGATGACATTAAATATTCATGTCATGTTTAATAATAAAATGAAGTCATTCATACTCAATCAATTCAGTTCAAAAAAAAGTTTCTTAGACGGTTCACCGCCCATTCAGGCACAGAGAAGCACTTTGTTCTGGCACAAATCATCCGAGGAAAAACACTGAGGATAAAAACTTGGCAGCGTCTCACACTTTCAGCTGATTTAACACTGTGTAGCTTCTACTCCACTACAAATCTTTAGAGTGTTTTCTAGGCATGTCCGCCTGTCGAACACTTTGTAAAGTCACTACCTTACACTTCATTTAAAATATTAAACATATATTCTTCTCACGATGTACAGTATGTATGTATTATACAACGCTTGTGTATTCTGATGATAAAAAGACAATTGTGTCTCATTATGCTAATGAGCAGACAAAGATAATAAATATGTAGCGTGAAATAAATGAAAATTCAGTATTGCTAATTAAAGTCTACCTCAATGTTAAATGACGCTCAACAAAACATCCAACACAGACAGTACGAAGGGAAGACACTGGAGGACAAACACAATATTGCTTTTTCTCACACATCACTGAGAATGAACAGGTTTTTGAATGAGGTTCTCAGATTGGAGGTCAATAAACTGTTCAGTTCATTCAGTGTAGTTTTTATTTTTGCTGGTGCTGATGGTCGTCTTGCCGTGTGAGCAGACAGGTGGCTGTTTTTTGGGCGAAACGACAATGAACTTTCCCAGAATGAACAGACACAACAAACACCTCATTTGATAATGTAAAACTTTGAATGCTTATTTATCCTACCACTGGTTAATTAGCTAATGTACTCCGTGCTGTAAGGATAGAGCTAGCCAACATTTAATATAGATTTTTATGACATGGTTCGTAGCATTCTGGTTAGCTGAATGCTAACATGCTATCTAAGCTTCCGGCAAATTAAGATGACATTAAAATTGTTGACTTAATTCGGTTTCCTAGCTCCTAGAAATTGTAGTAAGTATTGTTTGGCAATGAGTGTATATCAAAGGGGTGGAATTGCTAGTATTTGAAAAAAAAAAAAGTTAGCATTGTTTTATTGAACAAACAGTAAACAGTAAATTGCCTCCAAACCCTGTAGGATACTTAGTAAGACAATACAGGACTGTTTCCCAAACATGTCTAAGCATTAAGATTACCATATTTGATATCACTAAAAGGTATAGTTCGCTTTAATATGGCATCGGAGCTTTTAGCACCAAGCTAGCTCCTTTTCAGCTAACAAGATGAACTGTGTGGGTTGGTGGGTCACAAATCAGAGAACAAAGATCTCAAATTGACTTTTACCTGTATACTGTGCAAAATCCTCTTATTGGCAACAAAGTGAATGAAATAAAAAAGATGTTTTCCACTAAACAACTAGAAGGGCACTGTCAAGGTCAATGTGAAACAACATACACCAGACCTCAGAGAAAAAAAATCCAAATTTATAGTAAATGATCCAGATCTGCACCAACATTTAATTTGTTCATCCCTGGCCCGTGCCGTAACCCTCCACCTTGTTCGGTGCAAATCGGCTCAGTACTTTTAGTGTAATCCTGCTAAAAGGTAAAGGCAGTTCAGTATTAGAGTATGGGACCTATGAGTGAATCTTTTGACATATTTGATCCTTCTCATGACTTAGTGGATAAGCTGATGATCAATTTTGCATATGCATATGACTCCTTTACATATTCAGAAAAGGCAATCCTATTTGCTGAGACGTCTTTGGGAAACATAAAGTGCAACACCACCCCCAGGCCACTAGCTGCTGCTGTCTTTCTGAGGGAGACACCTCTGCCAGGGGCTGTAGGGCAGCGCCAGCAGCACAAAGAGGATCCCACCGATGATGAGGACGGCCCCCGCACAGCCGATACATGACACTGACCAGGAGAGCTCGTGGTGAAGAGGAACCGTATGGTCGCTGGCCAGCAAAGCCAAGACTGACTGGTGGAAAACCACGAGACAGAGAAGCACCAGGATACCTGTGGAGGAGATAGCAGACACAGGTTAGAGAAACACTGGTCCACGTTTATTTTGAGAATTTGAGAAAAGATTGTGACTGTGTCGCTGTCTCTACTGACCTGACAGAATGAAGCAGACCGATGCTGGCTTGAGGAAGAACAGGATTTCTTTACTGAGGGACATGGTGATGCATATGGCCCCCATCACCATGAGGAACAGGCTGAACATGGCCAACATGGCTGCCGCTACATTCAGATCTGCACAGGTAAAGAGGACATTGCTGTTTTCATAAATTCAATTTTATTCAATTCAGTTTAATAGGGACGGATGTATTTAACATCGTTTCTGGTGTCAAAGACAGAATAAACGCCACCAGGTTTGTAGCCACTTATTTCCACCCAAAAGCTACTGTGAACCTGTTTCACAAAAGTGATAAGCACGCACTGCTCACATGCTGATCACAAACTGTGCAGGAGGGTGCAGGAGGTTTCACATGCAGTTTGTTTTTGATTAGTGAAACGTGTCAAAATGAGTGAGAGGAAATGAGCACATGTTGCACACCACAGCTCACAGCTTGCGTGTTGCAAAGTTGGTGATAAAGATTTGCAGCAGCTTTGAATGTGGCTCGAAATGTAGGATCGTTAGATTCCTTTTTGTAAATGACGCTGTTGCACCAACACTCTGCTGGAGGTGTGTTCAATTTCCTTTAACCAAAGTAAATTTTGGAGGCAGCACAACCGTATAAAAGTCCATGGAAAGACCTGAGTGGATGTGATGATATGCAACATTGCAAGTTGATCTGGGGAGTGTGACTTAAACCAAAGACGCGTCAGAGTTGAAAATGTTTATGCCTGAGTAGGAATGCACATTTTTCCCAAGACTGTAGAACTCAGGTCGCAAAATACATCTGTCCCACACTTGGGCCACATGGTTCTTTCACATGTTTCTTTTGGCCCAGTATATGTCCGAGTCTGGCCCATATCCTGCATGGTTGTCAGATGCTACTTCCGCATCTGGACACACATAAAGTCTTCCAGCTGTCAACCAACACTGGAGCATAACAGCCGGAATCTGCCCAGATGTGGAAGTATATGGGCCAGACTCGGACCGAGGACCCAGGTCTATGTTGGGCCAGAAGTTTCATTTTCAGGAAGGTGCAGAGTCCAGAAGGAGAAAAGATAAGTGGTTAAAGGAAAAAGAGCAGAATATTTCTGAAAATGTTTTAGCTAAAGCTAAGCTAAGTCTTAGACTTATCATACAAACACACACACAGACACTCTCCACACACCCACAGCATACTTCAGTGCATAGATTGTTAGCTGTGTAGTAAGTTCATACTTCCTGTTTGTATGGAGAATACATACAGACTCCATCAGTCAAATTGGCACAAATAAACTGTGTAAAAACTTTGCTTTAACCTCTGTTATATCATTATTCCAATGATAAAATTATTTACAACCATTAAAGAAGATTTAAACTTTTATTGTGCAAAAGCAAGCAAACAATACACTCATGAATGTATTTATTAAATCAATGCACTGAAGCCTAAAGCCTGACAGTGATGTGGCATCGGCAAACAATGAGATTTTAATGTATGTCTGTCTTTCCTCATTGAACGTATGGCACTGTGTGATCTCAGTACATTATGGAGCTGCCAGCGAAATGAGAGGTTAGACGGCAGCTCGGAGACATTTGAACGTGGTGTAGGCGGAATAGATTTCAAACACTCACAGAGCAGACAATGGCCAACCTGAAAGAGCATGGTGAGGAGGTGAAGGGAGACAGGACAGAAAAAGACTGGGATGGATTGTGGGAGAGACGGGTGAGAGGAGAAGAGGTGGGAGAGAGATGACAGACAGGAGAGTGGAGAATGAAGGAAGAGCGAGAGAAGAGGAAGATGAAGGGGCAAAGAAAGGAGGGAGTGGGCGGACGAGGTTGGACAGCGGTTGAGAGAGGCCAAGAGGAGCCGAGAGAGGCGCATGACTCACTCTTCTGCGTTGTCTTCTGAAACATCACAGCGTTTTCCCCCGTGGTGAAAAACTTGAAGTAGGTGCAGTTTGATTCTGGAAGCGGAAAAAAAAAAAAAAAAGATGGAAGAGGAGAAACAGCCTCTGTAAATGACACAGACATAAACACTGACAGGTAATCTGCTTCTTTCGCTGCAGACAATCTTGATGAACATCTTATTGAAATTCAAGGAGCCACATGTCTCTCAGCCCCTGTACACTTTACTTTCAATTATTCTCCATCATACATAATCAGCCGTGAGCGTCAATGACAGGCTCAAGGTGACAATGCGATGCTTCCTGCATAATTAGCATTCTGCCGTCCTGATGATGCGTTACAGTAATTAGAGTTTGGCCGTCAAATAGAATGTGACACCTCTATCTGTTCCCTCGCACATTTGAGCACGCGAGCGAACGTAACACGCACACACATCACTCTCAATTAGCGTGATCAAAGCCACATCCTCAGAGTGTTCTGGGTTTGTTTTTCCCCTCCAACAATAGTTATCAGCGTTAAAGCAAAGACTGCTGCACAACACGATTCAAATCCAACCTACAAATGGAGGAGGAAAGTCCACCATAACTGGACTTTCCTCTCTCTGACCACAGAGCATGAACAGAACACCTTCATCCCTTAAGGATCTATGTGTAGCATAGATCTGTGCCCAAAAACCAGCATTTAAAACTTATTTTTAACTTTTGATTACTCCTATGTCCCAATGTGTAAGATCTTGCACTTTGACCAACCTGTGTTGTTTCTGAATGTGATTCATAAATATAATTTCCTTAACACTAAACAGTTGGGCAATTACAAAATACAGTGTTGCAAGAAAGAGTCCTACAACCAAGCATTTTACCACTTCTAGTTCCCTCGTCTCAAAGTTGATGGGTATTTTAATGGGTTTTTTTTTGTTAGATGACTGAAAGCTCGTGTTTTCACGTTTTATTCTACAAAATCATACAAATACGTCAGTAAATACCTCATTCCTGATTCCTCAAAGCTTTTACATCTCCTAAAAAAGGCCGGCTGCCGACAAGTGTCTTAATGAGACTACAGAGGTTGTCGGGGATGTAAACATCATCACGTTGAACTACTATTAACCTTTTAAGAGGAAAGGCTTTTAGAAGTAGAATAGGTCAGACTTAAATCAAACTACAAATTGAGGTTTAGTGGTCAGTTCGTTGATAGCCTAGCATTAGCTTTTTACTTCTGGTGATTGTATTTTTGCTTCGAACATCATAAAATTAGAATTCTTTTGTGAAGATGATCCTGCTGAACAAAACGTGTAAGTATCATAAACTAAAGCTCATTTTCACCAATGATCCAAAAACTAATAGAAAAATCTAACCTACAAGAATCATCATCCCTGGGAAGAAAATAAATATTTGTTTTATGGTTTCATTTTTTACATTGTTGTAAGTGTAGTAACTGTTGCTCATAAACATAACTTTCTTTTCAATGCTACATTTAAAAATGTTAAATAGGCTGCCATACAGTCTGTGGGTGACACCAGGACAGAGACAGTTAACCACAGTATGGTCAGAAAACTACCAAATGATGTAATGCAAACACATACTGTAGTCTGTCCTGTAGGCAGAACAGTTCCAATGTCCTATCCACTCTATGTCACTCTTGAATTGTTTAGACCAGAGTTACTATATTATTATTTTTTGTCACTTTCAATTTTCAAAAAGTCCCAGGACACAACAAACCCATTACTCTCTAAACCTCTCCCACTTGTTTTGATGAAAATCAAACAGGTATCCTGCCTGAAACTGATGACATACACACACAGAGCTCTTGGTGGACTATCCCCAGTCTCTCGCTCTGTTTTTCTTTTTATATGACTCATTCTTCAAAAGGGGAGCTGATACAGTTGAGTCATGGAAAAAGGGAAGAAATGCTGCGAATAGCTTTTAATAATCTTTTGCTACACTTGAACAAAGAAAGTCTGAAGCAAAAGATCCGGATGTAATTTCCAACCCAAAGTCCTGCATTATTTCCATTAGCTGTTCTTGCACCTGTAATGAGATACCTGCACAAACTTAGAAACACTTCAGCAGCAGCTTACGAGTAGAATATGATGCTGTACAGCTAGAGCGCTTTAATATTTTTCTATAATCTTGTAAATCACTTGTTTAGACTCCTAAACCAGAATAGAACGCGCTATCCAAGAGCTCAGGACTTCCAAAATCCAATGATGCATCCTTCCACTTGACCCAAAAGCGTAACATGGACTCACTCTTTAACTCAGACCATGTAACAATGACTCAGGCAGTCAGCCAGCCAGCCTTCAAACAGTGAGCCAAGTGTTATTTGTCAAGCCAGAAAAGCCAGGTAGACCACTCATTCATGCTAACTCACTCCCTCAAACTGAGCTGTCCTACCAGCTCGATAGATTGGCAAACGTCCAGTCAGCCAGCTGGTCTGTCAATCAGCAGCTCAAAACTCTCTCTCTCACACAGTCACCATCATAAAACTCAGACATCAATCCACCACAAACCAGCCTTTAAATCTTTGAGTCACCTCCGGGCAGTTCAGCAGGTCCACAGCTCTCTCTCTCTGGGTCGATATCAGCCACCCACAGGGTCTTGGTGCAGCCCTTCCACAGGCCGTAGTGAGCTGTCAGACATGTCTGCAAAATGGAGATCAAAGAGGTTTTTTCAAAAAAAGAGATCAGCAGCAATATTCTTCCTCCATCCATCACAAGGTTTAGACATGAAACAGGGATTCATTCCTAACAGGAAATTACTGCTCAGTTGTGGTTTTTGTCCCCAAGTAAGACAGGTTAATAACATCTAAATGTACAGGATGTGTGTTTGAGGGGAAATAACACAATAACTCATGATCAGAAGTTTCTGTTTCACCTGATTGTTGTAGAAACTCTTTGGGGGTGCCAGCTCCACCCAGAACTCTGTCCCCACCCCGAGCACCGTCAGGACCACGCCCACGATGGCCACAAAGAATGCCAACTTGATCTGGTGACAGAACACAAAGCAAAATTATTTCAGTCAAATAGTGATTTGAATAACCTTTTTAAAAAGTTTGCAATACTGAGTTAAAGACGTATTTAAAAATCTCTCAGCAACCAGTTTTGGCCTTTCAGGCACGAGACCAGTTACAGTGTCCTTGCTTACTCATGTTAGCCTCAGTTTTTTGGACTTTAGCATGAATCTCCAATTAGTTTATATTGAAATGATACTTCAAAGCGTAACAAGTGGAAGTGTGATGTATTTTACTGTGTTAAAATTTCTTGTACACTAACAGGCTAACAAGCTAGCTGTGGTGCTAAAATACCTTGTACGCTAACAGGCTAACAAGCTAACCGTGGTGCTAAAATACCTTGTAGGATAACAGGCTAACAAGCTAACCGTGGTGCTAAAATACCTTGTACGATAACAGGCTAACAAGCTAACCGTGGTGCTAAAATACCTTGTAGGATAACAGGCTAACAAGCTAACCGTGGTGCTAAAATACCTTGCATATCAGTTAGATGGACCAGTACATATTCTGTTCCTATCTAACAAAAATAAATGGCTGCATAGAAATGGAGCCAAGCTTCCTGTTCACCATATACAAAACACAACGCAGGGTCAAGTTGTTGCTTTATGTAACCAGCCAGTTTCAGAGCTGTTTAGCTGAGCTCACTTACATAAAGTTATACAGGGAAAGTGCTTGAGTTCTTCCTGCATATTTTCTGTAAGTCTACAATTCTGTGGAGTTTCTAACCCATGAATCATAGTGTGATTGTGTTGAAATCGTTGGCAGGGGAAATGTGAAAGAAACTGAAGGAGCTGGTATTTACAAGTTTACATAGTGGTATGCACCATGGCTGTATTTTTATTATTATGGTGTGATCATGTGAATTTTTGTTATAATATATCAGGATATATAGGAATTAACAATGTCACAGGGAAAGAACAATCTCTTCATGTTGTTTTTAAAGTCCTCAACACATAAAATATGAACTCCAACAGGCAGTGGAGATGTGTGGGTGGGCTCTCCTGCTTCTATCTTTGTGTGGACCAGTTTTAGATGATAAGAGTGAGGACATTTGTCTGGTCCAGGTTTGTTTCATACACTGAGTTTAAAGAAGCCAATTAGGGTTATAGTGTGGGGAATGAATTATGCCACGGTGTTCCTCTATAGAAGTATAGAAGTACAGTCATGTATGTGTATCTGTGGATACATGTCAGAAAGTGATCCAGTTTAGGAGTGTGAAGTCTCAGCTCTCTCTGAGTGATTACGACCGTGCTGAGCACCTGCAGATTACTCCTAAGCTTACATTTTTATCTCCTTAATGTCAAAGAGCTGTGTTTGATCTCTTGCAAATTCTTATTTTAAAACATTACAAGTCATTCATCTGCTCTGGTGGTGTGTTTCCTGCCCTGCGGACCGGCCAGATTTCAAGCCGAAAAGGCAGCTGCGTGATTGATTGGATCCATTAGCTCCAGAGTACTTTCATACTGCCTGAGGGAAAGCACACAGTCGCGCAATATTAAGCCAGTCACCTTTCCTTCCTGGGCCTCACTCATGGTGTGTCCCGCTGACGTTGTCCTCCGGCGCTTGTTCCCCCCAAATGTACTGCGTCCGCTCATCAGGTTGGCCAGACCCACCGGACCCTGGGGTGCTCCTCCTGGTGCAGGCCCTATCACTGTTCCTGGTGCCGGCGGGCCCACCGTGCGGCCCTCCTCATCAGTCACAAAAAATGTAGACCACATTTTGGAGAACAACTAAGACAGCCAAGCGGGATTCACTTTGGCAACCAAACTTCCTTTGAGCTGTGACCCTCTACAGGGGTGGAGAAACTCCAGCAATAGAAAAAAAATCAAAGACAGGAACAAAAACAGGAGAAAATTGTGTATTCTCAGTTTGTGCCCAAAAAGACAACAATGAAAAGCAGCATGAGACAATGTTGAAGTAAAGTAAAGTCGTACAGGTGTATCTGACAGAAAGGAAGAGGCAAAGCAAAGAGGTAGAAAGATAAAGACTAAAAAAAACGACTGTATAATGAGCACATTAGAAAAAAATTGACACTCAAAAAGTCTCCTTGGTAACAAAAGCTACACCTACAGTGTTCTGAAAACTTTAGCAGGAAAAAGCAGGAATCAGCCTCCCCTTGAGAAAAAGCTTGGTAAAAAATGGCGGCTTGGACGACAGCTGCAAAACTGATAAATGAATCATAGTGAAAAAAAAAGAATCACAGAGGACAGTCGATGTATAGAAGAGTGCATCCACTGAGAGTCAATAGAGGTAGAGGTCAGGAGTGAAAGAAGCGAGGCCTCCTAAAGATGAGAGAAGAGAAAGTGAAAGTCATTAGTGTTGTGTTGTGGTAATCAACTTTACCTTATTTCAGTCACAGAAAAGTTCTCCTGAGAAAAACTGTAGACTTTTTAAACTGTTAAATGATCCACTGTGGTTGCTAACTTGTCATTAACTTTCCCTGCTCGCCATTCGGTGCTGGGCAGGTGCCGTTCAGTTGGTTTATCAGAGCTGTCTTGTCACTCTGGGTAATTAATTTATAGTTGCAGTTATAGTTAGTAAAGTCATAGTTTCAAGATCTCAGATAGTACTGAGTGTGAGGAATGAAATGGTCTGAAGAGACGCACCCAGTTCTCTATGCTTAGAAAGCCAAACCAAATAAAAAGCTTGTTCTTCAAGGGTGACCTTTCTACTGTTATGAGAGAGGGTCAGTTACTAAACATGTTGCCTAAAAGCTGAGCTAAAGTTACAGCATCTAGGAGCCGGGATTTAGACCAGATTTACACCTGGTATTAACAGACAAAATTCATCTGGATATTTTATATCAATAATGAAAGACACGTTAGTGCATGTGTACTGGAAATGCACAACGCACTGCAGTCGGCCTCCTTTTAAACTGGCTCGACCATATCTGGGCGGGGTGTAGCACGCACTGCAATCTGATCTCAACCGGTTGTAAATGCAATCTGTGCAGGTTGGCCACACCCTTCCAAAAAAAAAAGAAAAACTCCATCTCCCAAAAAGTAAGTAGATCTCACACACACACACCCACGCAACACTGTCTCCTTAAGCTAGGACACGTTATGTTTATTGACAAGCCCACCAGGTCCACTACCTAATTTGCATGATGAGATATAATAACATAATAATAATAATAATAATAATCTTTTTATAGAGCACTTTTCTAAACCCATGTCACAAAGTGCTTTACACAAGGCAGCGAAATAAGACAAGCAGGTCAGGCAACAATTCAAACAAGCAATCAGAAATACTCTTTAAGTGTGTTAGTATTATTGCAAATAGACCAAAGGCAGTGTCAGGGTGATAAGTAAAAAAATCAATAAAATCAAAAAATGTAAAAGTTTTCAGTAACAGCAAAAGTGTTCAATAAAATTAAGTAAAATGGGGAGAAGCTGTACGATAAGGTCAGATACAGAGCATGGAGAGAGGCCGTGAAGAGCTTTCAAAGTCAACAGGATCTTAAAATCAATTCTAAAACGTACTGGGAGCCAGTGCAAGGAGGCTGAAACCAGTGTAATCTGGTCACTTCTCCTGGATCCTGTTAAAGGTCTGGCTGCTGAGTTCTGTACAGTCTGGAGCCGATTAATAGATTTGATTAGATATGATCACAACCTGGGCAAAAATCTAGATTGAGCAAGACCAATTATTAATAGCAGGGGTAAATGCAAAAGTCCATGATCAAATGTCATCGTGTCAGATAATGTATCCAGATACAGATTACAAAAAAAAAAACTCCTCAAAGGCTCTTGATTTATAGTTTTGGAGGAATGCACTTTTTTTGTACGTTGCTTTAGACAACAGCATCTGCCAAATAAAAGCAACGTAATCCATGTAAATACCAGGTTGACAGGTTACCACAACTCTCCAGATTAAAAGCAATCGTTCCTCTTTAATTGAGCAATGTGAACAAATGAAAATAAAAATGTAGAGTATGGAAAACAGAAAATTGAATCTATTCATTATCCAGCCTTCAGAACTTTCCTCACTGTGAGCTAACGGTGTAAGAAAAGCACAGAAGTGGAGAGAACTTCCTCACATCACAAATAATTATCTGTGCTGACTCTTCTGCTTCTTTCATTAGGACGGAGAAGCGATATAAAAGCACTTAGCGTAGTAGAATCACAATCAGTTATCTATTTTGAGATGTTATGCGTCAACAAACACATAAAGAAAACAATCCGCATACTAAAATCATAACCTGCTGTCTATTCTGAGACACTTTATGGTAACTCGGCAGCACAAAAACACTCATCGTGTTCAAGCCATAACCAATTATCTATTCCTAGAAGCTCTGCGATGGAGAAGTCACGCAGATACGCCGCCGATGAATTGAATCTTAAAACCCTTTGTGTCTGTAAGGGTGAGTGAAGCAGCTGTCCTGCCACGTTCCACAGGGATGTGGTGACAACAGACATGACATGCAGCCCTGCCTCTTGTTAGCAAAAATGAAACACATCCCCCGGGGAGATCTCATAACTTTACTTCCACCTCAGCGTCTCTCCTGTTAACAAGCTGACGAGCTAGAGGGCCGAAGTTTGGGGTCATTTTCAGAGAAATCTTCCAACAACAGATAAATAATCAAATATAAACACATTTTCACACATAAATACAATTTCATTCTTCAGTTTAGCTCATAATTTGTTATTAATTCAAATCTTATTAGTAAATTCAGACACTTCTCACCACTTTTTTAGATTCATGTATATGAACGTACTTCCCCAAGTATCTATTAAATAAGACATTTTGGCTGCAGTAGCACACCATGTAAAGATTTGTGTCAAAAGACACTCATTCCCAACGACGAAGCAGATACTTCACAAACAATTTATTGTATGCTGCATCACTTTAATGAACATTTATGAACTTTGAGACAGAAATTTAAGCATAACAGGGTCTGTTTTTTTGATGGATTTGTCCTAAATACTGCATCATTTGTAGATATGTTCTTTTCATCCTTTATCTGGTCAATTCTTGAGAATGAAATCATTTACAGAAGAAAACAGCTGTTTGAGAAACCACTGATTAGAGACAATACAGTTTATTATTTTAGACTATCTGAATCAATAATAGTTCTGTTGCAGTTGGGCAAATGATAAAAAAGGCGTCCACCTTCTTCTGAATAACTTATTCTGACAAACTAAAATTAGATTTAACCAAAGTTTTCCCATTTTAACCATTGACACCATTCTGCATCAGTTCGTGATTGGTAGGTATCGAATGATCGCAGCACATTCATTGCTCTAAAGATTCGTTACCTCGAAGGCACGTGTCACTTCAAAAAAGTATGAGCATCATCAGAAGTACTGCACCATACTGTATTGATGCTTCAGGTAGTAGCAGTGCATCTGTAGCTGCAGACAGGTATGTAATGGAAGAGTAGGCATGCAGGTGCACATGTAGACATCGAACCTGCAACCTTTCTGTTACATTAGAGTGAAAGTGAAGTATCATGCTGCTCAGATAAGAGCAATAAAGATACTATCATAGTAATATAGTAATACTGTTATACTTTTTTTTATCATATAGCTTGTTATTACTAACACTCCTATAATAGCTCCTCAAATTACTATGTCAAAAAAAGGATATTTTTCCATAAATGTAGAGAGCATGCAGTTTGTTAAAATGGCAGTAATGATAATTGGTCATTACAGGCCTGTATTGATAAAACAACAGCAAACAAAACCACCAAAATGAAACTTGTTATAGCAAAACAAGTTAGTTGGTTTAAAATATGATGTTAGTGGTCAAGAAAATCAGCTTTTAAGAACAATAAATAAATGAAACTGTGTTGTCCTTACTCATCAAAACTGACCACGGCTCTCCTTATAAGGAATCCAATTGGACACACTGGAAAAGTGGCATTGAAGCACGAGGAAGAAACTCATTACAGCAGCTGTGACCGGCGACAAGCACCTTTAACAAGTTCACTCTCTTAAAATATCCTTCCTACTGTCTCCAAAAATAAGCCGTCATGGAGTCAACAGCGAGAAGAAAGTTCCTGTGTTATATCACACAAACAGCAGACTCCACTCCATAAACACTCTGTACGGGCAACGTTTGAGGAACAGGCCAGTTCAACCTCGCCCACCACCACCAACCAACCAACCAACCAACCAACCAGCCAACCCAACCAGCCCAACCAGCCCAAACTCCCCCCCCCCAAATAGTTCAGCAGCCAAAAAATATCATGCTGAAATTAGACACATTAGTTTTATTTTTTCACTCTTTAACACGTGCTGCACTCAGGCGTCGCAACGCTCGCCGCCGCTTCACAAATATCACAACAATGATATTAACAAGTTGCTGACCTGGTTTTTGTGTGTGTGGTTCTGCTCGGAGTGACGGAGGGCGAGGAGAGGAGAGGGAGTGAGGGAGGGAGAGAGAGAGAGAGAGAGAGAGAGAGAGAGAGGTGGATGGGCGAGGGAAGGGAAAAAGGGGTGGAGGTCGAAGTAGTTCAATGTGTGTGTGTGTATGTATGTGTGTGTGTGTGTGTGGAGGTGGAAGTGGACGTGAAAAAGAGCATCAGCTAAATGTCCACATATGCGTGTGTGTGTGTGTGTGTGTGTGTATGTTTGTGTCTTGCATGTGTGTACCCCCAAATAAATGTAGGGTTGCAGATTACATATCTGTTTGTGTGTGTGTGTGTGTGTGTGTGTGTGTGTGTGTGTGTGTGTGTGTGTGTGTGTGTGTGTGTGTGAAAATGCATATGCAAGCCTGT